TGCTGGATGAGCCCGGACTCGAGCATCTCGCCCACCTGCCGCTCGATCTCTGTCTTCTGGAAGTGTGCATATCGATACGGATGCACGTGCACTGCTCGACCTTCCTCGACCAAAGGTATGCGGTGGTCGAACTCTCGATGCGGCGGCAGTCCCTTGGGCTCGTCGAGGACTTGGCCGAATTCCTCGAGCAAGTCACGCACCTGGCGCTGCCTCTCCTCGACAATTTGATCGAACTCCTCGACCACCTTCGCGTCCTTGCTTGTCTGCTCGACCACGACAGCGTACAACTGTCCGCCACCTCGCCATACCTTCTCGATGTTTTTTAGACCAACCTCCTTGGTCGATCCTTCGTTGGCTTTCAAGGTAATCAACCTATCATCAGTCTCGAACTTCATCACGCCCCTCCGATAGTTGGTCGTTACGTCACCGAGCCCTTCGAGCCATTGCACACCAAGCACCACGTCAGGCCCTACTAATGGTAAGGCAAACAGGTCCGCCTTTACCGTTACTCCTTGGAATTTGATTGGCACGCCTCGGTACACCTTCGAGCACCGCAATCTTTCACCATTAGCCACCCGCACCTCGAATGGCTCGACCATGGACGTGGGTAGTTTAAGCTTGTGAGATAGCGTCGCATTAATGAAGTTGTGCGACGACCCATTGTCCACGAGCACAGTCACCCGCTGATCCTTCACCCACGCTGGCAAACGCATCGTCCTCGGCCCCTTGGTGCCTGCCATGGCGTGTACAGAGATCTCGGCCTCATCATCGAGCACCTCGACCTCCTGTTCTTCCTCGATCACCGACTCCTCGTCATCCGAGTCCACAAACTCGATCAAGTAATTCTGCTTGCACCGATGTCCCGGCGTGTACTTTTCCTCGCACCGGAAACACAACCCCTTCTCTCGTCTCCGTGCCATCTCGTCCTCCGTCAACCTCTTTACCTCGGTTGCTGGTGGCCTAATTATGCCCGGCGGCCTCGCGTTCGCACTAGGTGCGCCCACGGTCGCCGGCACACGCCGCGGCTCTGGGACACGAAAATCCGCCCGTCCCCTTCGAGTCGCGGCCATGTGATCCTCCCGTCTCCTAGCAACCTCCATGGCCTTTTGCATGGTCTCTGGCCTCTCCAATCGCACTTCGGCCGCGAGATCATACTTAAGGCCTCCAACAAACGCGCCAACAAGCGCACTCTCTGGCCACCCGCGAACCCTGCACGCCAATCTCTCGAACTCCTTTTGGTAGTCACGTACACTCCCCGTCTGCCGGATTCGGGTCAACGCCTCGTCGTGGTTATGATAATCTTGTTGGAGTAGTATACCCGGCGTTCCAATCAGATTGGACGTATTCTACTTG